TAAAATAAAAATAAAAATAAAACATAACAAAGAATTTTCAAATATCACATGCTCTTCAAATTATTTTTCATTTTAAAATATATATAAATAATATTTTTTTATATCATCACATTAAAACCATAAAAAAAAAATTTTGAAAAACAATTTCAAACAATGAATCCAATTACAATCTCAGTAAAAAATCTTATCGGTTGCGCTCCTCGTTTTACCAAATAGCTTCATTGGATCCAAAAGATGCCAAGCTGTTGCTATGTACAAGCAAGAAAAAATATCAGAGAAGAGGTTAAAAATGAGATGGGACGGGACCTCAGTAAGATGGGGACGTTAGGAATTATTCAATTTCTTTCAAGTGACCTTTTTAACGTGTTAAATCCCACATGAGAAATGACCAAATTTCTTGTAACCTTTAGAGTATAATAAATTAGAGAACAAATAATGGCTAGGGGTGCTATTTCCAGGTTCCATGTGCAATGCATTTATGTGTCCTGGAATAGGGCATGTCGTTTTCACTCAAAGACAGAGAAAAACGGAGAGACAGAAATAATGAAATGCCGAGGCATGCGTACACGAGGGCCAACAAATTATGTTAAATTCCATCCATCTCAGTGGAGTCTTGACATGCCAATTTGAGGGCCAATATGTGTAGAAAGAACTGGCATCGAATATCTTTGATACATTTAATCTGCCGGCTCAGGAACCAAGCTAGAAGATGCTTGATACATTTAACATTCTTTTCGACCGCTGAGATTCAATGAACAGTATGAAAATCTCAGGGGGAATGTATTATTGTTATACATAATTTGGGGACTGGCTTGGTGACGTTCTCGGCTAACCTCTAGATCACCCATGCAAATCATTTTTTTCAACGAGGGTAAAAAACTGATGTTATTTTTTTTTCTTTAATTATCAAGAGATCATGGTGAAGTTGGATCGATTAGATTGACTGAGCTTAATTCCATTATCTTCTTGGTTAATTTAATAATAGATCATACTTAGGTTATTTAGATCCCGAATGAAGTTATTTAGATCCGAATCACCAAGTTTTCATACTTGATTTTTTTTATTTTTTATTTTAGGTTTTTAAGTGTCTTTGTTGGATGGTATTGCATTTCAAGGATTTGAGAGGAAAATCAGAAAAAATAAAATATAAATATGAACAAAAATGAGTCTTTTGTTGTTTATTTAGCATCAAAATGCAAAATTGAAACTTTTCAAAGATAACGGGATAGCAGTGGAGAGTTCTTAAATACAGGATAGGAACGAAAACTATAATTTATTCTATTTTGAAACGCAACTGTCTCAATAAACCAAAAGCACTGTAATTTTCCTGTGAAACAAACTTCTTTGGTTTACGAGCATAGCACAGATTTTAATTTTTTTTAAATGGTCGTGTTATTAATTATCTTATAAATCTTATTACAGTAAAACTAAGGGTTTGTTTGGACTACGGTCATGGATGCACTAAAAATGCTTAAAAAATGGGGGGAAAACCATGATTTCATTTCAACTATTTGAGGTTAATTCTTGAGGTTTTTTAGGACATTGAAATGACACGAAAACAATATTAAAACCGATATTTCAAGCCCAAAAAATACTGAAACATCAGGTAAAGTGTCATTTCACATCCTTTCAGAGCTTTTAAAAAATACTTTTCTGAAATTATGTTTTTCAGGTGAAGATTGCATATGTTAAAGTTTTATGAAGATCTTACCAAAGACACCTGTTAGGGGGGTATTAAAAACATATTTCTTTACAAAATTAGCTCGTTGTTGTAATTACATAACACAGTTAGGTAAGAAGATAATTTTTTTATTTATCAAATTAATTTCACCTTTCTCCTGCTTTCCTTCCCTTACATCTCTCACCTTCTCCATCCACTCCCCTCTCCCTCTCCATCCTCCATCTTATTTGCCATCACAACAACAACCATCAAGTAAAATCAAATAAGAAAATAACGAGAGAGAAAAGAGAAAGAAATTATTGATTCCTCAATACCGGCTACTAATGGCAGGACCGCAGTTAAATGAAACTTCCCATCTTCAAGAAATCACTGATACCAAACTTGGATCCAAACTTCGCTTAATTTTGGTGTTTTAAGACTTAAAAATCTTGAGTCTTAAGAGTTAAAATATATAATTTTTATATTTGATTCGAGTTTTATTTTTTTAAAACACTGCAGTATTGTTTGACGGATGAATATGCTCAATTAATGATTATTATTAGTAGTTTTGAGGCCAGAAAGGTGGTGTTTTGGCCTTGAACAGTAACAATGAGAGGAATTAATAAGAAGGGTGCTGGATTTTTAGCAAAGTTGTGTCCAGTCTTTATAATTTAACAAAAACTGTAATTAAGCTTTACAATTTCACAATACTGTAATTGAACTCTTATATTTTAAATGATGTTCATTAACTTCTACATTAGCTAATAGTTATCTGGGCATTATAGTTAAAGGGTGTCTTGAACAATAATATTAAAACTAATAAATATATATATATATATATATATATATATATATATGCCATTTAACTGTCAAGGGTTTATTAAATAATTTCTCGTAATAAAGAGATTAATTAATTTGTTTTAATAAATTAGAGGAACTAATTTATAATTAACTCCTATTTTTAACAAGGTAAGTCTCGCCAATGCAGTGCATATTCCAAAGGTTAATGGATGCCCAGTGATCGGATGCAAGTCAAATAGCCATATACTGCTGGAAGAAACTAAACAATATCACAATAATGCAATGCAGGCTCTTCCCACGGCTTGCATGCCTCTGGCGATGGAGGCTTAATTAGTAGATTTCCGCTCAGGTTGCAAGGCTCCCGAGTAGTGCACTATTGAGCTCCCTGCGATATAATTATTGGGTGATTAATTATCATCGTGGGAAAAATCGTGTTTAATGTAGGTTTGGACTCTAATTCTATAAAGCCTTTGATTAGGCCCAGATTCATAATAGCAACACCCAAACCACGACCAAATATCTTGAAATTTTTTATTTTTTTTATTTTTTATTTTTTATTTACGTGGGGTATCTGGGTCAGCTTGTGCGTACCACAACTAATCCTCACGGCCTACTGAATACCCTACAAACCCAGTAAGCATGTAAGACATCACGAGGGTGACAGACGTGCACGCCAGGGCTCGAACTCAGATACAATGGAAGGAGACAAGCCCTTTCCACTGCTAGACCAAACACTAGTTTACGAAATTTTTTACTTTTGCTTGAGTTGGAGGACAACAAAATATAGAATATCTATTTAAAATGGGTTTTATCTCGGTGGATGTTTATTTAGACGATAGCTTCTATTTTTAAAGTTTATAGTGTAAATATTAAGTTTGATAATATAAAAATTTAACTGTTTTTTATATGAAATGTATATATATTTTTTACAAAACATTGTTTTATGAGAAATATTTTTTTCTTCCATATGCAACTAGGTGAATAACTACTCATATTTAAAAAAAAATATTATTTTTTATTTGAAAAATTATTATTTAATATTATTTAATAATACTACATAAATTAGAAGAAGATTACTTGATGGCGTAACATTTATAGAATTTGATCGCAAGCCCAATTATGTTCTTGCGGGTTTGATCTAGTTAAAAAAATCAATTTTTATTTTTATTTGTAATTATGTTTTATTCAAAAAATTATAAGAAGATCGTTTGATGACGTAATAAAAAATTCAGTTTTTGTTGTTGCGTGTTTAAAAACCATAGAAAATATAGTTCTTATTTGATAGATTTCATACGTGATAAAATTACACATAATAGTTTAATGGAATAATAAAAAAATATTTGATATCAATATTATTTATTTCATGATGTGATAACAGTAGTTAAATCTATAATATTTAAAATTAAAAATCATTAATATTAATACATATATTTTTTAATTATCTTATAACTTCAATTGGAAAAACATTATTTTAATCAAACACATTAAACTACTTTTTATTTAACTTCAATTTCAACTATAGTTTTAATCAAATATATATATTTTTTTAAACCAACCACAATTAAAAAAAAAATTTATAAAATAATTTTTTTCAAACCACAATAGCTATCACAATACCAAACATACTCTTACAATGTATTTGAAAACGTGGTGTAAACAATATTTTTTAAAAAATTAAGGTGGAGCCCAATAAACTCAGTGAGTCCATCATTATCATCCTTTGTTTGTTGGACTCAAACCATGAAGAGGCTCTCAGGCTAACTCTTTTTCCATAAGATAAGTTTTTCAGGTCTTGTGGTGACGATTTGCATTCAGAGGGGATTTGAGATCATTGCATATATTTATCTACTCTAAAAACATCTAAATTACCGCATTTCATTCACATGCTATCACTCATGCTTCTCTTCAGACTACGAGAATGTAATGAAAGTACTGCTGCAAATAAAAACCCTGCTATATATCCATGTGAAAACGAACACCATAGAATTCATTGACTTGAACATGCACGCGTGCATGTCGACTAATTAATCACTCTCACAGATTCTTGTCTGACTGGAGATACTGATCAACAATGTCACTAGTCTCCTCAAACACTGCAGGCAACTATAATGCAGACAACATGGTTACAGACCATGTTTAAAGAAAGGAGAGCAGCTCGGCGGAAAAGAGAGAGAAGATTAGATATGGCAAATGGCTGTAACGGGCTCAAGAACCCATTGACGTGATGTAAGACCTCAATTAGCGAACGATGGAGCCCGTTGGAATTGTATCTCGCTATCGGTCAAACCAAGCCCTTTATTTTGAGTATTCCCAAATCAACCCCTTAAGATCGATTTAAATGTAATCGGAGTCTACTGATCCAGCCTTTTTTACCTATTGAAACTTAGAAAGTCCCGATGGATTTCATCTTTTTTTGACGGTATGGTCTGAGGTTCAGAAATCGCATTTTATCTGAACCACCAAACCAGTTTAATTGACCAAAATATATAGTTAAGGGTCTGCTAAAGAAAATATAAAAAGTAAAGGGACTCAATTATGATACGCAGCCGCAGTTAGGCATAAGACGACATCGTTTTCTAAGTGTTGAGGAACCGAGAAAGCCCTTCATTCTCTGTCTGTGTCTTCCTCTGCTTCTAGTTCCCAGATACAGTAGCTGTCGAGAAGAGAATGGCATCATCATCATCAACAGCAGCAGCAACAGCAACAACTACAGAGAGAAGAGGAATTCCAGGAGCTCAGTTTGTAGAAGATGTTGAAATCTATCTTAACCAATCTGGTCTTGATGTCAACTCTGCCCTGTCTTTTCTGCAAGAAAGGTATTCTCTTTTATCATTTCTTTCATAACTTTAATCGATTTAAAATGTTAAATACTTCATCTTTTTCGCGATTGATGTTGGGGGTTATGTTTGTTTTGTAGATTACAGCAATATAAGGTGGTGGAGATGAAACTTCTTGCGCAACAAAGGGATCTTCAGGTACCTTTTGTATTCTATGGTTTGAATTGAATTATAACTGTAGAAAACTAGGTTTGATTAACAGGGGAGTCGTGACTTACCGTTCTTTGGAAACCTCGTGGGCATTTATGTCAAGTGTTTGACTCTCCAAATCTTAACATTATGGAAATTGGTAGAATTTGACTGTAACCGGCTAGAATGGGTCTTATAGTTCATGAATTATTAGTCGGTTGAATGGAAAAACGTTTTTAGCTTTTGAGTTCTCAAGAAGCTCTGCATGGCAGGACTGAATTGCTGCATTTTAGAATTTGACCTCATAAGGGTTTTACCTTTTCTTTGCTTCGTATGGTTTTGGCTGGAGATAATTAACTCCAAAACTACTATCTTAGTTATAGCATTTTTTATGAGTATTTGTGCACTCTTTTTTTCAGCCATTGATTATCCAGCTGAATGTTGAATATCATAATCTTAAGCTATAAGCTATTCTAATATCTGAGTGATGCTTTTGATTTCTGCACTCCATTTCTGGGATAAATATTCTGTGCCACAAGCAGAATCTAACTTGGTTAATTTGGGTCTTTGTGCTGAATCGGAATCGAGTTTTCATGTGACTTCACTAGTTTAATTTCTTTGGTTTGTAATAACTGGTGTAACATTCAGTAATTGCTTTGGTTGTCAGGCAAAGATCCCTGATATAGAGAAGTGCTTAGATGTGATTGCCACTTTACAGGCTAAGAAGGGTACTGGTGAGGTTCGTTTTCTGTGCTGATCATTTTATATTATCTATGGTAGCTTGCTTTTGGAAATTGTTCTTACCCAAGCTATGTTCGAATATGGGATTAGCAGACTGCATGAATAACACTGTTTTTATTTTGATGGATTTCCTTCTAGCTCTAGCACATTATTTTATAGGGTAGTAGCAAAATTGATATTGTATGGGTGAATATGCTTGTGAAGAATACTGTAATGCTCTTGTTACAGCACAAATATCATAGTAAATAGATATGCTGTTGTGTTATATGGGGTATCCTACTAAATCCCTCACCCACCTCCCTCCCCTGCCTCCTCCCTGATGAATTGATAACGGTTCTAGTTTTAAATAAAGTTGAGCACAAGAGGTTGAAGTGTGCCGTTTACTGCTTACCATTGCATGCTGAAAATAACTGTGAAACATGACCATCATAAGGAGGAGAAATCAGACGTGGCTTATGCCTTTGCACTAGTTGCAATTCACTAAACACATGCATCCATGTTCATTGCATTTCTTGTTATTTGATAAATGATGGCATTTTGGAACTCTTAAACGTGTTGAGTTATTCATACCCATCTTTAATTGATGAAAATGAATAAAGCCCACTATCTCCTCTGCTGAAGGGCTCACGTCTACTTTAGGGCAAGCACGCTGGAGTCTCGCTATCATTGGCCTCAAAGAAGCGAGCTTCGTGTTTGTTGACAGCTTGCTATTAGAGAACGGCTTCCTCTTTTCTGACATTATCTTTTACATCAACATAGTTTATTATTGGATTTGCTAAGATTCAGCTCTAGAGTCCATGTCAACCATCCTACCCTTAGCTTCCTTTGTCTTGGCCCAGGGATTCTTACAATCATTATAGTCATATCAGGTCTGTGCTCAATCCATCAGCCAGTCTAATTATGTATGGTCTCCCATCTCATGCCTCCTCACATAGTTCAAACCATGATTGTAAAAATCCCTGGGCCAAGACTAAGGCAGTAGATTTCAAAAATCTTTAACATGTATATTAGATGCTGCACTGTAGTGTATGTTGGCAGGTGAGTTGCATACATGTTCATACTTGCAGAAGAAATTTTCACTAGTTGAGTTGCTCATGAGAATTAATTCTAAGCTTACAATCTTGACTTGATCTTACAACATTCTTGCCCACTTTGCATGTCCAAACTAGAGTCACTTTTTTAGACTACCTTAATGAATGCCATATATTTTTCATGTTGGTTTCTTCAGTCTTCCTGGATTAGATACGTGGCAATCCTGACTTTACGTACTCCAGAGTCCTAGCTTGTGGTTGATGAGAATCTACTTCTCTAATGATATCCCTATTTCTTACAATCAGTGGTCCATTGGTTGTCCATGGATGGTCTTTGCTAATTACATTCCCCCATCTTTTAAGAACCCAACACTTGCATGCTAGTGGGCGACATGACTTAAAAAGTATTGAACTAGTGAGCTGCTATTTAGTATCTATCAATAGATTTGCTAAGAACAACCTGCTATATTTTGATTGGCATTCTCCCACAATTCGGATATATATGGCATTATAATACCACAATCCAGCTAGTTGGTTAGCTATACCCAATGATGTAGAAATCACCCTGGAACATTTTGCAGGAGCAGCCTTCAGAGAGTTACTGTCGTTTCAAAAGGCGGAACCTTGGATGATAATTCTATGACCTTACATCGATAGCAGTAACAATATACATATATGCTATATATGAAAAAAGTGCTGACTTTCTTAGTTAGCATCTGAAAGATATGCCATCAATAGGACTTGAAATACTGTATTTTTTAATATATTTCAATCGTATCATATCCTCTTAACAATTACTCCTAACTTGAAGCTGTAATTAATTCAGGTGCATATGTTGGCTGTTGACTAGTTCTGAATTATGCGATCTATTTTGTTATCTGGTTGAACTTAAAGCTAATGGCTTTAGTTTTCTATTCTCTTATAGAGTTTATGCTATTGGATGTTTCATTGGCTTTATATTTTGGACGCAGCCTCTTATTGCTGATTTTGAAGTTTCTGAAGGCATATATTCTCAGGCTCGCATTGAGGATGCTGAGTCGGTTTGTTTATGGCTAGGAGCAAATGTCATGTTGGAGTATTCATGTGAAGAGGTTTGCACCTGTTCTTTTAGATGCTTCAGAAGCCTCTTTTTTTAAAAAAAATAAATAAAAATCATTAAGATTGGATACAAATGTAAGATCAATGAGAATTTTATGGTGTAGGCCAGTGATCTTCTACAAAAGAATTTGGACAACGCTAAAGCTAGCCTAGAAGTTCTAGTTGCCGATCTGTTATTCTTGAGGGATCAAGTCACAATAACACAGGTATTGCTAATTAAAATATAGGCTTCTTTTCCTGGAGTGGCGATTAATGTGTAGAATTTAAACCAATATGTTGCATATGACATTATTTGCATAACAAACTGGGCTAGCACTATTAGTGCACACCAATTTTGTGCCCCCGCCCCACCCCCACCCCAAAAAAAAAAAACAATTTTTCTGTATTATGATGATGTTTCATTTGTCCTAAAATTGTTATTGGTACACCAACTTTCATTTTATATCAATCAAGTATTTGAACTTTGATCTTTCTCATTTGATGCACCAATGTTTCTTTATTGATCCAATCTAGTGCTTTAGCCAATTTTTTATTTTCTAATGTGGATTGTTTTTAGTGAAAGCACCGTATAAAATAAGATTATTTTTAAGAAACAAAAATATTTTAGATTAAGATAAATGATATATAAAATTAAAATAAATCCTTTTTATGAACTAGTTTTTAGTCTTTATGTAAATGACTTGCCATTGATGAAAATAGTTTATGTTTTAAAATGATTTTGAGCAGGTTAAGCTGTGTTCAGTAAACAATGAGCAAGTCATTTACAATGAGAAAATGTGTAAAGTTACTAATAGTGCAACTATTCCCAAGAAACAAATGTTAAGGCATTTGATTTTACAGCATACCAAACTGCAAAAGGCTTCGGAAGTTTCTAAATTGTTAGCTGTTTTTTTACCATTACTACCATTTTACAGGTTACCATTGCCCGTGTGTATAATTGGGATGTTCACCAGAAGCGCAGAATGCGAGAAGCTGTTACTGCTGAGAAAGACTCATGAAATAGTTGTTCCACTGCAATTGAGTTTCAAAGGCAGCAATGCAAGCTTATCTTCTAGGGTGTATTGTCTCAATTCCTCGTTTCTTAATCTGGTGAAGGTATTGTCTCTGCATACCTGTTGATGTTTTCTGCATATCTGCACTTTTGTGCTCTGGTTCACTGCACTCATGCAGAAGCCTGATATATTATCTGGATCATTTTTTATGCATGATAGAATTTCTTAGCTTGAGCTGTAACATCTGTATTAACTGAAAGTCCTTTAGGTTGATTGGCTGTTTACTGTTTTGTAAGCTTTTGTTTTTCAAAAAGATGTCCGGTTAAGTTTCAAATCTCTTTGTTACATATCTGGTTTAAATTTTGAAATGTCGGGTCCGTGGTGGAAACAATGGGGGCCGCATGTAAGTTCAATATGAAGGAGATGCGTTGGCAAAAGGTTTGCGAGATGGAGGTAAAGGAGCCTAGGTCACTTGGTCTGAATGATGTCAGCATGATAGCATCTTACCTCAAAAGGGTTGTGGATCTGGATTTTTTCAATTATACTATTGAGTTTTTTAGTTTTAAATAATTACTAGGTTTCTGCTCTGTAGACTTCGGTCCACGAGCTTGGTGGGATCACACTTGTGTTCATGTTGGACGTATTTCTTAATTGCTTCACATGACGGTTGAGTCTTGTAACGTTAGGCTGGCAGTTTGGCGGCCTCGCTACTGATAACGGCTAACGTATTCACATATGAGCCTCAATTTGTCGGTGACCGAGAATCTAATTCAGAGCAGTGGCAAGTTAACATGTGTCTATGAGGGAGTCGAGTTTTTGTCTTGTTCCCCTCATAAGCACCAAAACACCATTTGGGTTTAGGCCGCCGCATAGAAATTAAGGATTATCCAGGTACATTTTGAGTGGACTTTTAGAAGTCGATTTCAAGCGTTGAATGTGATCTGATTACTTTTGATCAAATTGCATCATAAGTAGGTGTTTGAAAAGGTCTCTTTTAAGCAACTAGCCACCTATCTGAGAGCAGCCCATCGTAAATTCCAATCCAGGAGGCCATAGAAAATTACGGATGTAGGTCTTGCTGCCTCCAATAATCTCCACTTTTAAGTGTCGGTTAAACCCAGCATCATTTTTATGTCGGTATATCCTTGTCTAAAATGTATGGTTCAGTCTGCAAATTGGCAGCAAACTTGCAGTTTGGATGCGCTCTAATATCACCTAATTTTCCTATCACAGACACAAGCATGTTCTTAACATTGCTATCAAATCCAATGGATAGACAGTTTCATGCATTTCACTTGCGTCCATTTAGGAGGTTGCTTATTGGATCACAAGACCTTCGGCCTAGACGATGGGAAGTATGTATTGGAATATAGAGGTCTCTGCACTTCACAAAAGCTTCCTAAATTTATGAAGTACGCATGCTCTTTGCGCTTCTCTTGCCGTTTCAAAGAAACAAACAAAAAAAGGGACTAGCACCGTTCAGATATAAAGATCCCTTCAACATTAATTGAAATAACGAAGAAGAAAGTATCCAGCCTTTGTGTTGTATACATATTTGCATGGAGTTTTTCCATTCGAGTACCTGGGCCCTTCAAGGCACATGTAGTTTTCATCGTGGGCCAACTATAACTCGGAAGTTTCCAAGCTTAGCTAGCTTCTTCTAAGCTACAACCTCGAATGAGACCCGAGAGATTGAAATGACCTCCAAATAGCATCAAGATGAGATTTTTAATGTGGATCCAATAAACGTCCATGTTCATGCGCAGTTGACCTTGAGAATTATAAGGGGTCCCATGGTTTAAAATTAAATGGAGTGAAAACCCAGTTGCATTTATAGTTTAAAATTAAATGAAGTGAAAACCCAGTTGCATGTAGAAATGGTTTGACAATCTTCAAAAGTCAGCAATAGGGCACATCTCCTTCTCTTCCTCTTCTTATGCTGACATTCGGTTCTGTCGAGGTTTTTATATATACAAGACTGGTGCTATCTAATATATTTGTATGAAATTAAAAATTGAGCTAGATGCTGCTGCTGCTTTCCAGTCTAATATCCAGATTTCACTGCCAGAAAATCTGCATGAGAGTCAGGGATCAGATTTAAACAAAATAAACAACGTTCGGTCAGATTTATTCAAATCATACCGATTAATGCAACTTGTTAGCACTAATACATGATTCATGCAAAAGATGAGGACATCATTTGGTGTCTATGGAACATCATGGTAACACGATTAATGGGATTTAATTGTCTGGCTAATTAAAATTAAGGTAGCAAGATCAATCTCAACTCAGCAACATATAAATTGTTGAAACACTTTTGTATCTCATATTTACACCGATTGTTTATACTCTGAATTCAAAACGGTATATTAAAAAAACACGTCCACTCTTCACAACCTGATAAACTTCAAGATCAATGGTGAGGAATCATGGGCGTAAAAAGAAAGGTGGGGAAAGGAGCTTATTTATTTACGGAGTCGTGCACGCAAAAGGAGACTGACTTGTCTTTACTGCCTTGTAATTAAAGCCGTCTTGTCATCTAGTGTTTTCAACGCGTTTAGCGGTTACCCGTATGATAAACCACTTGATTATTATAATAATAATAACGAGAAATGTTGACTTTGACCTATCATCATGTGAGGCCATTAGAATAGCTTGACGTTAAATGCAGTCTCTTGGTCTAAAGATAATGGAAAAGCTAATTTTGGGTCTAATATATATATATATATATCTTTCGAGGAGATTAGAGTAACTTGCAATTGCCGCAATCATCGCTGGGTATTTTTATCAAGATTTTTCTAGAATGAAATGAATGGGTCAACTGCTTGATTTTGGTTCTTATTTTTTCGGATTATTATTTTTAGTGAGTTTTTTATTTTTCGGTGTGTGTTTTGCCTAATTTAGCCCACTGGCCGTTCTAAAGCATCACAGTCCAAAACCACTCCTTTTTGGTAGATGGGAGATCTACGAATACATTCTGTCCTTGCAAGGTTTTTTTCTTTTTCTTTTTATGATCGTACACAGTTTTGGATCAGATTGATTTCTTGGATATTTTTGCACGGTTTAGATCGATTGGCAGGATCGTTAATGCTGACTTATCTGATCAACTGAGGATTTGATTTGGAAACGTATCAATATTTCCGCGTCATCGACAATATTATGAAGATTTTATACAATATTTGAAAAGGGTGTCTTCCAAATGCCATAATTCGTACATCAAGAATGATGTACTTCATGTACATTGATACTCAAGATTAATGATATGTACTTCAAGAAGGGAAGGAAGTATTGCCGAGTACTAATTTGTTATGCTATTTATACGTCATTGTAAATGTCAAAGGAAAAAAAGAAAGATAAAGGAAGTTTGGGAAAGCGAAGCTAATTTGGACATGATTAATTTATAGCTGAAAGAAAGCTTATAACTAGGTGTACAAGTAAACATGTCAGCATCAACATCAATGGCGAACACAAGTAATTGACCAGGTCTAAACTCCGAAAGCTTGAGGATATCATCAAGTTAGAGTCATATTAATTTGCTTTAGGTCGACTATCAAGACTACAGTCAATCTAGGGAGAGTGGGGGACAGAGAGAGAACTAATTAAAAGACGTGTATTAACCTTGTGACTACAATATAAGGTCAAGTCTAAAGCAATTTCATATTTAATTTCCATAAACAAGAGAGAAATCTTCCAGGATCTTGCTTCAGCAATTAATAAAAATATTGCGGTACGGAATGAATGGCTGTTCTCCATAATCTTACTTTAGTGTGTATATATACACACACACTGAATAAAGTATTGGGAGTTTATCTATCAAAGTTTAGTTTACAGCTGCCATTAATCGGTGATGTAAGCATTAATCTAGAAACAGAATCATGAAATATTTCTAATAAGATTTATGCCAGGATAATTAAGTTGGTCTGGGATTGCATAATGAGGATTATTTATAAGTGATGAGTGGTCCTTCACCATTAATTTTTGCTTGATTTAATAGCGGTTTTGGATCCGGAATTTGTAAATTTAAAAGCCCTGATGAGATAAGGTTTAAGAATATAAATAGACCCTTTGGATGCTCTCTGTGCAACTAAAAATGGGCAGTTGGCTTTCTAATATGTCAGCAAGGAAGTGAAATTGAATCGACATTACTGATCATAGCAAGGAAAAAAGAAAAAGAAGGCAGATATATATATATATATATATATATTCCACCATCTCAAAAAATCTACTGTACTGGTGCATGATCTTTGACGGAAGTTGAAAAAAAAAAGCAAAGAATGAATAATTATGGAATTGGTTTCACCTTCTATTGCTCAAATATACACATACACGCAAGACAAATAAACAATCCATGCCATATTGTCTTTGCTGTCCCTTGTGCGCTTATGAGTGCGCTCTCTTCACTTTTCACATTTAAAACAATATAAATTATATTTTAATATTTTATTTAATATTTAATAGTTTTATATTAAATTAATTTTTTAGATTTAATAATCGATCAATCATAAATTTAAATCTCATTAATTTTATTTATTTAATAAAAATTAAGTATGAAATAATATAGATCTACGTAAATTTTAAGTTTAAGAACCTTTATTTAAAAGAATATATTACAAAAATAATATAAATTATACGTTTAAACTTTACCTTAAATTTTTAAATTGAATTTGTTTTTTTAATACTTTTTACAGTTTCATTTTATATAGTCCTAATATTTCTGCATGATCAAGCCATTATGCATGCTAGGTTCGCTTCCCCTGCATCCTAGCTAGCATCGTTAAATTGTAGATATTGCTTATATAATAATAGCGGTTTTGGATCCGGAATTTGTAAATTTAAAAGCCCTGATGAGATAAGGTTTAAGAATATAAATAGACCCTTTGGATGCTCTCTGTGCAACTAAAAATGGGCAGTTGGCTTTCTAATATGTCAGCAAGGAAGTGAAATTGAATCGACATTACTGATCATAGCAAGGAAAAAAGAAAAAGAAGGCAGATATATATATATATATATATATATTCCACCATCTCAAAAAATCTACTGTACTGGTGCATGATCTTTGACGGAAGTTGAAAAAAAAAAGCAAAGAATGAATAATTATGGAATTGGTTTCACCTTCTATTGCTCAAATATACACATACACGCAAGACAAATAAACAATCCATGCCATATTGTCTTTGCTGTCCCTTGTGCGCTTATGAGTGCGCTCTCTTCACTTTTCACATTTAAAACAATATAAATTATATTTTAATATTTTATTTAATATTTAATAGTTTTATATTAAATTAATTTTTTAGATTTAATAATCGATCAATCATAAATTTAAATCTCATTAATTTTATTTATTTAATAAAAATTAAGTATGAAATAATATAGATCTACGTAAATTTTAAGTTTAAGAACCTTTATTTAAAAGAATATATTACAAAAATAATATAAATTATACGTTTAAACTTTACCTTAAATTTTTAAATTGAATTTGTTTTTTTAATACTTTTTACAGTTTCATTTTATATAGTCCTAATATTTCTGCATGATCAAGCCATTATGCATGCTAGGTTCGCTTCCCC